CAAAATCCCCCTTCCCTCCCCAACCCCACTAACCTGCTTTCCAGCTCTGTTCTCCTGGGCAGGGCAACCAAAGGAGACCCAGTCGATCAGCTGGGACTCAATGGGAGGCAGAGAAGAGATGGGGTTGGCGGGGCCAGTCAGAGGTGGGATTGGCTGGTCCTCCGAAGGACTCAAGATTTCCACAGCCGGTTCTGTAGAACCGGTCCGAACCGGCTGAATCCCACCAATGTCAATTTCACCCACTGTGCCTCGGAGAAAGAATCTACTTCCTCCACCCCTCAAGATGCTTTATTATATGACGGACATGGTCTTCTTTCCAGAGCAGAATTCCAAAGAAGCGAAGTTAGGAGCTGGGACATTCCGACTTTGCCACACAACAGCCCTGCGAAGTAGGCCAGGCTCAGAGACTGAGGCCCAATCGGATTACTCAGTGGTGGTCTACTCAATATTTGCGCAACCGGTTCGCCGCAACCGGTCTGAACCGGCTGAATAACCATCTGGTGTTAGTAACTTACCCACGAAAGGGGATTCGCTTAACGACTACAGAGGGACAAAGCTCGCTTCACTCATGTCTCTCTTTAATGACAGAAACGGTGGTCGTAAGTCGAGAACTATCAGCGTCAACTCATAAAATATTTCTCAGGTTTTTTTAGAATTGCCAACAGAAAGGGAGAGGGGAGCAGTGCGACAGCTTGCAAACCGAAAGTGCATTCCATAAATGTTTTCAGAGATAGTAACTAGGTGACCGAAGTTTCTGCCGTGCTAAATTCTAATTGGAGAATATGATGGATGACTCTGGGCTATGGAGGTGTCCCATTAGAGGATATGAATTACTTTACACCCAGGAAGTGTGTGTGTGTGTGTGTGGGGGGGGAAATCAGGGTCAAAGGGGACAATATTTAACACCCAAAACATGGATCGAGGAAAGGAGAGCTCTGAGGCATCAGCTAATAAATTCACTGGATGTATAAGATGGGATATAAAGTTTGAAGAGAGGGTAGGGGGGAAATAGCCCCCCCCCCCCCCCAAAAAAAAAAAACGGGCAAGGAAATTAAGGAGGTTCTTCCCTTGAGGCTTCCACCAAAGTCCACGCGACCCTCGCCACGCCGGTCGAAAAGAAGGGCTTAACCATACGCCCGATTCTTAGGATGGCTCCGCTCTTTGGCGACGTCTCCCCGAGTGGATCTGCAAGGAAAGGGGACCAGGGTTATCACTCCACCTATCTGGTTTTGCAAAATATTGACAGCAGCAAGGATTTGCATGTGCACAAGGTTGGAAAAAGGAGAACGCCCCATCGGAGGAGGGCATCATTCGGAAAATATTAAGAGATGGATAGGTTGACATTAAAAATAAAGGAGAAAGGAGACACCGAATATTACTTAACACGGAATAGCTTTTGCGAGTGGTTAGAGATAAGAGGTGGAAATGAGACGAAGAAAAGATTATTGCGATGTATGAATTAAATATAAAGAGGGTTTTATAATTATGAACCTGCCAATATAACCAACAGAATTATGAATAAGCGAATAAGAGAAATCTAGTCAAAACTATTGTTACATTATTATTGTTATTATTGTTATTGTTATTATTGCTTTCTTATTTTTGTTTTTCTATAAATGATATGCCCTAAAAATACTGTATTCAAAATGTTTATGAATATATATATGTATATACAAAAAAAAAGGGATCCCCAGGGGATTTTAAGAGATCGCGAGGAACAAGTTTAGCAACCTCTCGCCTGCTGCACGCAAAGTTTCCGGTCCTGTCTGAGGCGATCCAAATTCTGGAATTAAATTGTCCAAATGTATTTATTCTAGGCGCCTTTGGGAGATAATTATACTGTTTTTATGAGATTGGGGAAAGGGGAGGGGTTTCCTCTTAACGGGGAAATAAAGGCACCCCGTTTTTGCCGAAAGCAGAATCAATTCCCCCGCTCCCCCTTGAATGAGACTTTAGGTATTTCAAGCTTGCCTAGCTGCCCTGAGGACTAGGAACTTAAAAGTCCCCAAAGCAAGCTTCCTTTTTCAGCCATCGGCATGGAGGCGGGGTTCCCCTAAATACGACGGTGTCTCCCCCGCTCTTTTTCGCCCGCAACGCTTTCTGTCCCCCCTCCCTCTCCTCCTCCTCCCTCCTCTTCCTCACCTGCGCCTGGGGGCCACCCCCAGCTGCTTCAGGATGTCGTCTTCGAAATCGTCCACCCCGTCTTCGCTCACCCCCAAATGGCGGGCCAGCTCTTCCAGGGCGTCTTCGGTTTTGTCCAAAAAGTCCGCGAAGCCGAGCCGCTCGTGAGCGAAGAGCCCGTCGCCATCGAAAAAACCTTCCAGCACTGGGAACAGCTCGCCGGAATATCTACCCCAGCCCAATCCGGAGAGGTAACTCTGGACCAGTTTGAGGAAGGGGGCCTTCTGAATGGGGGCCAAGAAACCCTCCTGGTGGGCGCATTCGGTGACCCCAGAACAGCCTTGCGGGGCGGGGAAAGGATGCTTGGCCAGCGCCGCCCACAATTCCTGGGGTTTTCGGGCTTTGCGGGGTCCCCGCTGGGGGTCCCCTCCTTTGGGGGGCTTCGTTTGGTGTTTCTTAGCAGGGTGGGGTCCCTTTTGGTTGGCCACTTTGGGCTCCCCGGCGTCCTGGTGCCGAAATCTCTCCTCCCCTTGGTGTTTCTTCTGCCACGGTTTCGCTTTGCCCTGCTTCGTCGCTTTGCCGCTCTCTTTCCCGGCCTCCCTGAGGTCTAGCTCCTTGCCCAGCCTCTGCTCCAGGTTTTTCAATTCCTCCAGGGGAGCTTTTTGCACCAGCTTTCCCAAATCCTGACGGACGGAAACCAGCAAGGAACGTAGATGACGGAGCTCCTTCTCTTGAAAATCGAGTTTACCCGGCGGGCGGCGAGAGACGGGGTCTTCTCCGGCGGGAGGCTGGCGGGATTTGGCATCGCCCGGCGTGTCCAGCCTGCGGACCTTTTCCCGGAGAAGCTGGAGTTCGCCCTGGGCGGCCGAGAGGGCGGCCGTCTCCTTCTTCAAGGTCTCTGCCAAACGTTGGTTTTCTGCAGCCAAATTCTGCTGCAGGGAATCGACGGCCAAATTCTTGTCTCGGGATCTCTGCAGCAAAGTCTCCAGTTCTTCTTTCTGGGCCTGTGAAGCGAGCCGTTAAAAAAACAATAATAATAATTTTGCTCAAGATCTTACGTTCGCGGTCCAAACAGTTTTACTTTTGGAAAGATTTCTTACTCTTTGCAGTAAAAAAAAAAAAAGGTTTCATTTTTGCAGTCAAAAATTTCTTATTGTTTGCAATCGTAAAAGTTTTATTTTTTGCAGTCCCAAAAGTTGTTTTTTTTTTTCAATCAACAAAGGTTTTATTTTTTGCAAACATAAAGATCTTTATTTTTGCAGGCTAAAAAGGTCCTATTCTTTCAGTAAAAAAAACAAAACCCGGTTACTTTTGCAATCAGAAAACTCTTACTTTTGCAGTCAAAAAGGTTTAAGTCTTGCAGTCCAAACGTTTTTATTTTTGTAATCCGAAAGTTCTTAAGTTTTGCCATCACAAAGGTCTTATTTTTGCAGGCAAAAAGTTTTCATTTTTTTGCGGCCCAAAAAAAGTTTTCTTTTTGTAGTCAAAAAGGTCTTATTTTTCCAAGCATCTTATTTTTGCTGTCAAAGCGGTCTTCGTTTTGCAGTCAAAACTTTTTGATTTTTGCAATTCCCCCCAGAAAGAAACCTTAATTTTGCAATCCAAAAGTTCTTAATTTTCACAATCACAAAGATCTTATTTTTTGCACTCAAAGACGTCTGATCTTCGCGGTCGAAAAGTACCTTCTATTTCTAATCAAATTTTTTTATTTTTAGGTTTAAAAACTGCCCTGGGCTCTACTCACAGAGGCAAAAGGATCACCATATTCCAGAACCAAAACTACGGAAACGGATACGAGATTGTCTTCAACTTATGACCACAATCGGAAGCGGAACTTCCCAATGGGGCCATTAAGTGAGTCTTCCCTGAATTTCACAGCGCCTTTTCAGCAAACTGCTGCAAACTCAGGTTCCCCATTGACAAAGGATGTCAACTCATAAAATATTTGGTTTTGGAAGTTTGGCTCAAGGCTCATGATTTCATTGGGGTGACGGCCGGAATCCTGACAAAGGCATCTCTTAATGCCCCACCAACGGGGTGAAGACCCCTGCCTTCCCCATTACCTGAAGCTCAGCCTGCATCAGTCGGATATCTTGATTTTCCTTGGCTAATTTGTCCAGCAAGACTCCCATGGCATCCAAGCTCTTCGGATCCTCGGAAAGGTTTTCTCTGCCTGCGTGGAGTGGAGCATCTTTCGTTGAGCCCAGAGAGGGTGACCAGTCCTGGGTGGGGGGAGGGGAAAAGGAGGGAGGGGGAGAAAGAAAAATTGGGCAAGGCGGACCTCTTGGCCACGGTTTGAGCTTTTCCTAGCTCCCTGCCTGGAAGATCTGGAGCTGGGAAGGGAGAAGAAGCACGCTGGGTTTTGAATCCATTCTTCCAGGCTCTGGATCAAGGACTCACCTGTAATTCCCTTACCTGTCCACCATTGGCAGGATATGGCTCTTCTCTGTCAGGACTCAGCCCCAGGTTCAGCATGTCAAAGCCCCCTGAAGGTGGGAGGAGGGGAAAAGTCCAATTTTTTTTACAGCTTTTTTTTTTTTTTTTTTAAATAGGGGTCGTCCACGCCCACACCTGGTTTCCTTTCTTTGGTTTTTGCAGAAGGTGTTCGGTGAACACAAGTGCGATTCTCTTGAGTGTGGCGATTCGCTTTAAAATTATGCATGACTGGCTTAATTATCTTTCCTTAGCAAATGGAAAGTCTCTCTTCTCAATTGTGGTTAAAAAAAAAAGTCAAGGTGGACCTGTATGGAAAAGCATGAAAACCTTGCCCCAAACTCACCGTCCTCGTTGTCAAGGAAGACCCCTGTAGAGAGAGAGAGGGAAAGAACGGTTTAGGAGGCAGACAGACGGACAGACAAACAGATAACAGATAGATAGATAGATAGATAGATAGATAGATGATAGATAAGTAGGTAGGTAGGCAGGTAGGTAGGCAGGCAGGCACTGTAGATAGATAAATAGATAGATAGATAGACAGATAATAGATAAATAGATAGACAGATGATAGATAGATAGATAGATAGATAGATAGATAGATAGATAGATAGATAGATAGATAGATAGGCAGGCACTGTAGATAGGTAGGTAGGTAGGTAGGTAGGTAGGCAGGCAGGCAGGCAGATATTTTGATGGATAAATGATAGATGACATAGACAGTTATAGACAGATTAGATAGATAGATGATGGATGATTGATAGATAGATGATAGACAGACAGACAGATGATAGATATAAAAGATATAGATGATATAGATAGATGATAGATAGAAACAGACAGATGATACATATAAGATATGATATAGATGATATAGATAAATAGATGATAGATAAACAGATGATAGATATAAGATAGATGATAAAGACAGATTATAGAAAGACAGATAAACAGACAGATGACAGATATAAGATAGATAGATAATATAGATAGGACGATATAGATAGATAGACAGACAGATGATAATTTAGAAAATATACCCCCACCCACCAATGTGGTTCTTGCTTACCCAACGTGGCCAAGACTCCAAAACCCACAACAGCTAAAACGGCCAGCAGCCACTTCACCCTGGAAAGCCCATCGTCCTCGTCCTCTGGAGCTTCCTTAGCTTGGTCATGGGTCAGCTCCGGCCCCACCTGCTGGACGTCGACCCGGCCTTTCCGTCGGCGCAGCCCCTCGACGTCGGCTTCAGGGGACCCCACCTCTTCCCCGATGCCGGAAGAAACCTTCAGCTCATCTTTGGGGGCACCTGCACAGGGGTGAGGTGGAAAAGAGGCCCAGGCTCACACACCTGGCTGGGAGGCCAGAGGGTCACCTGGGGCGACCGAACCAGACCTGCCAGGCAATCGAAGAACACCGTCATTATCAAATTATAATT